AAAAGACTTCTTGATCTTGAAGCGGCTTGCACGACCCTCGACTTGTGTTCGAATCAAAACGGCCAAGCCTTCGATCGCCATGGTGAACAGACTTGGTGCCAGAGGATCGCCTTGACGAACGCCGGATTGAACATTGAAAGCTCGCAAAAATTTTTTTTTTTGTATCTAATCCCTGAATTACAGCAGCCACATTAATTTGACAAAAACGGTCATTATGGATATAGCTACAAGCTGCTGCTTGGTCTTCATGAAAGCCTTGGTAGTCTAGTGGTTCATGATTCTCGCTTTGGGTTTCAATTTGCGAGAGGTCCCCGGTTCGACTCCGGGCCAAGGCCATTCTTTTTGCCCCTGTTGCCCATTTCTCGATTTGCTGCGTTGTTTTCGTGCATGTGGATTGTCTTTTTACTCACCCCCTATGCCGGGACGCACCCTGCGTTGGGCTGCAATCCAGTTACAGGCGGTGCGACGTCACGAAACTCGACCAACCGAGGCACTTCTGTTTATTCTTTTCTCTTGAACGAACCGCAGCTGCGCGAATCATTCGATCAGTCGGTCGTACATGACACCACACGACTCCTAGTACAAGCAAAGTAAGGTGCACGCGAGCTGCCTTTGTCGATCTCTCTGTTATTCTATAATATCGAAGATCAGTCAGGTTTCGACCATTCAGATTCCCTAAAGATTGACAGACATGACGATGCGCAGACTCTGACGAGCAAAGGTGAGACGTTGCACAACCGCGGGTTCCACCTCAACATGCACACAAGTCGAAGGGCTACGTTGTAGCTGAAACAAGAAACGGTGCATGGCCGCACGACTACACAGAACTCGTTGAAGCAAGAGGCGACTGGTCTAAGAGTTGTACGCTTCCATCGGACCTGCGACCCACATCAACTTGCTGACGCCATCAGGGTCGTTCTCGATTGCAGACCAGAAGTTGTCCGTCGGCTTCGGTCGAGTCACCTTTTTCGTTTTCGACTGACCCGAATCGTCTTCTCCGGCTGCCGTCTTCCTGTTGCGCGTGCCAGCCTCAAAATAGACCACTCCATCCGACTGGGCCACTGGCCAACATGTCACCTTGCCGGTAGAGCCCTTGACCGCGACATACGTCCGGTCCAAAATCTGTTGGACAGGGGACTGGCCGTAGCCTCCTCGAGGCCTATGTTAGCAAACGTCTATGAATCATAGGGTCATTGACAGAAAAAGTCCGCGGCAAGGAACAAGAGTGATCAACAGGGTTGGCGAGCGTTTCATTCGCGTACACAGTCTCTCAGGATACAAACTTCAGTAGTTCTCCTTTAGTTTTGATTTGAAAGGCTTTGGTCTGGATACCAAAAAAAAAAACAAAAGCAGATAACAACAGCACTACGATACAAAATTCTCAACGGTCATTTACAGTCTCTGTCACCCTGTGCACCTGTATCTTTGTTGGCTTCGAACGAGTTTCAAACGCGGCATACACGGTGTCTTCGGGCGGCGGCTCTCGCCCAGCATTTCTTCGAGGCAAGTTGACCCATGCTACACAGCAAATCAGCACACTGTTCGATGGCGAGAGACTGCGACTCACTGTCCCAGATCAATTTGAGTGACAGTGGCAGGTAAAAGGCAGCGTAGATCTGTGAGGAACCAAGCTCAGTCAACGTCAATTCACGCTCGTCACCGCTCGCTCACCCAGACGATCAGGAACGCAGAGCACTCGACGGCACCCCACGTAGGCGCTGTTTGTAGCTCGATTGTCACGGTCGGAACAGTGATTGCCCAAGCGTAATACACGGCAAAGGCGAGGCTGCCAAGCACCATTGCGACCGACGTTTGAAATACTGTCGACGACGCATATTGCAACGCTTGCACTCGTATCGCGCGTTCTATGCCGTGATGAGCCATCACTCGCACTTCAGCGGTTGAAGGTCGCCTGTCTTCAGAGTTTGCTGGCGTCTGCAAATCAGATAGGTCTACCAACTCCACATCAGACGAGGCTAGGTCTTTCGATTAGTGTCCTGACTCCTGCTCACTGAATGCGATTTGCTTTCGCAGTGTAAAGTACAAGTTGAACGCGAAGAGATTAATCAACGCAGTGATCCCTGCAATAACGGCGTAGAGAGCTTTTGTGGCGATTGAGTACTGCAAGTACTCCCTCGTAGTGCGACGGAATGACCTGTACTGTTGCGGTGGCGGTTGGGCGCCATCTGACGGGACCCAGGCAGCCTCTAGCGTCTCGAGCAGGTCGTGCACGGCAATGTACTCCGTCCAAACAGCTTGCCATCTGCATTTGGGTGTCAGTATTAATTCACCCATCAAAGCCGGTCAGCTCACTTTGCCGTGGTATAGGCCGCAACCACAATCAGCGGCGCGAAGAAGAAAATGGTCGAGGCCAGGTACGACCAATTTGCAATGGGAGCGACAGGCAGAGTCCACTTCTTGCCTTTACTCTCCATGACGACGAGATGAGACTGCAATGCACTCCATCCACTGAGCCAACCGTGCACAACGAGCGGCACGAACGCGAAATTACGCCACCCTCCTGCCTGACTGAGGTTTTGTTGATCAAGATAATATCCGTACAATTTAAGTGTATATGCGAGTAGGATGATTGATGTGACGAATGCCGAACACATGCCAACGGGTTTTTGGTGCGTCACGACGAAAGTTTGTCCCGGGCCGCGTTCGACTATTCGCATAAACCACAATCGTTCACCTTTGCGACGATTCTCCTCAAGCATTAATACGAACCTCAGCGTAGTGAGCAACGTCACGCTACGCGTGACATGAGTCAGCTTCGCGGCGCTAACGTCCAAACGTTAGCGTCGTCGCAAGGCACGTGACCTTGACACTCACAGGGCGAGCGTGACCGACAAGATGATAATTCTGACACGCAAGTGCTTTCCAGGGCTGTCAAACACTGCATTCTCAATCTCGAGTCGATCTGCAGTAGAGGTCTACCGTCAGATTGTTTTTTTTTCGTGAATTTGTCCCTTTGCTGCGATCTCGATTGCAGATCGAGCGTCCCCAGCGCCTATCACTCCGACTCACATGCTGTGTATGGGTTGCTTGTCATCGCACGGTCATGTCGACGTGACTTGAAAGCCTTTGACTAGAGTTGAACTGGCTGAGGCGGGCAAGTGACGCGCTCAAGGGTCGACACTAATTCGAGGCCTTGCAGTGAGACTACTCGGACTGTAATTTGTCTCGGACAGAAGCAGGCCAGGATCCAACGAGTGCCACGCGATAGGAGATTGGAGATAGATACCCTGGTCGAGATGAATTCTTTGTGCTGCCTGACAAGCAAAATGACGATGTCGAGGTCACGTGACCGGAATTCATGCATCGTGCTGACCTTCGGACTACCTCGGGATCGGCAGCAGACTCATTATGTAAGGCCGGACATGCCCTCTCGTTGTACCGGACTGGCCATGTCGTTATCCTCGGCTGCGCGCACGTGCGCCATCTTCAAAAACGTCGAGCGTGGACCGAGAGTAGATTGTCTTTCATCAGTACCGCGTACACCCACTTTTTCACCCGTCGAGAGCCCAGCAGACAGTGTCTATCAGACCTCAGTCGTTAACGAAGCTTACTCTTGGAGGACATCAGCGGTCATTGCGCCGTTTCGCTTGGCGGCCGAGCTCGGTGAGTTGCGTCGTCAAAGCGTTGGCAGCCACACTGCACGTGACAAATGCACCGAACGACTCGTTGAAGCTCATTTGCTGACCGGCCGATCCTCTGCAGGCTCTCTCAGCTCGCTTCGCAATCCCGCACGTGCGCGTCTCTGTTGGTCTGGCCGAGTCCCGCCGCCACCGCCGATTCTTACGGCTATGGCGACCGCAACAGTCGTGCCATCTGCACCAGCTTATTCTTCTTTACCACCAAAAACCCAAACCCTCCCACGAGACGGCGAATTGCCTTCATGTTGGGGACACCGTGGCGTGAGTCGTTTGCAATCAGCTCCTTATCAAGAAATGGGCTCAAGCGAACACCAGTCGACGTGCCATTGACGCATCTCTTGCTTCTGTTTGCTACGTCACGCTCCAGGCATCTGCCGACTACCCTGAGAACACGCTCGCAAGTTTCGAAGCGGCCATCCGTGATGGGGCAGAAGGCATCGAATCAGGTCAGTCGTTACTGCAGCTTCGAAGCTCAGCCGCAACCAAGCGGGTCAACGTTCTAAGGTAGCTCCGTGTCTCGGGGGAAGTCGTGCATACCGAAGCCGACTCGACAGCTTAGGCTCTTGCGGCATAGCTCGTTTGCAATTCGTCGCCAACTCCGTCACCGGCGCCAGCTTGTTGCGAAAAGTTGCTGATATCTTTCACGATCCTACAGACGTCCACATCACCGGAGATTCTGAAATTGTCATGTTTCACGATCCTCACCTCGACCGCACAACGAATGGCACAGGCCGAATCCAAACTCAGAACTATCACGGCGTTCTCGACCAGTTGGTGACCAACAAGAGTCCACAGCAAAAGGTGCGTTCAACAGCCAGTTGGCGGTGGCTATGATGATTGAGTTCCCGCCTCGACAGATTCCAACATTCCGAGAAACGATTGCCCTCTTGATGCGTCCAGAGAATTCAAAGATATTCCTCAACATCGACGTCAAGGTTGACAACGATCCCGAACGTTTGTTCTGCTTAATGCATGACATCATTTCCGAGTACTCTGATTACGACACAGCGCTCGCTCCACGACTTGTACTCGGCTTGTGGCATCCAAAATATGTCGAACCTGCCACTCGAATTCTGCCGTATATTCGTCTTACACACATTGGCATGTCCCCTGCTTTGGCTCGCAAATATTTCTGGCATGCGTGCTCTGCGTTCTCGATGAACTTCGCCTGTCTTGTCAGCCCAGACGGCGAGAGATTCAGACAAGAGTGCAGAGTAGCAAACAAAGATTTATGTGAGCACCTTTCGCTGCTGCTTGGGCTACTCGTGCGCTGACAGCGCCATAACTACAGACGTTTGGACCGTCAACAAGCGAGCAGAAATGATTGAAGCGACGAAGTGGGGCGTCAAAGCTATTCTGACCGACCGCACAGCCGAGTATTTGAAGCTGCGCGCGCAGATGGAGAGTGAGTCACGATCCAATTCATGTCTGTTGTTTCGTCCTCGACTGATCGTGAGGTTCCCGCAGATGATTGGCTCTCGGTGGCGGCCGAGACAACCTGGAAATTCGCCTGGACGTCAATCTGGTACACGACGGTTGCCAATTACGTCTTGTCGGCATGGGAACGCTACATTCTGACACAGGCAGGCGGCACCTGGGACATTGCACAGCGTTGAATTTTTGGTGTTGTTTTCTAAGTCTTCCTTGCGGACACTACTGTCGTTTCTTGTTTCTTC